GTGCGGAACATCGGTAAAATCATTCAACACATGTCCCCGCCGTTTCAGCGCCCCCGAAACACTTCCCAGGCGGTTGTTCCACTGCATGCTTCTACACTTCCCTGATCAAGGCAACTCGCCTGGCGATCGTTACTGGATGGGCTGGTGGGGGCACGCGAAGCGTCAAGAATTGCATCTCTATCTCTCTCTCTCTCTCCCTCTCCCTCTCCCTCTCTCTCTCTCTGCGTGTATATATATACATATATGTATACATATGTATATATATATATATATATATATATATATATATATATGTACATGCATACATATCTATACATATATTTGTGTGTATGTGTATATGTAGGCATATATGTATACATAAATATATGCTCATCCGCCACCGTGCCTCTGGGCACGGAGTGGGCGTGTCCTCAGGTCCTCTGCCTCATCCCCTGGGCCTCAGTCCTCAGTCCTGAGGAGTCTTTTAGGGGACCAGACCCCAAATTGCCAAATCTCCTGGGGCTCCCGGCCGTTCCCCTGGGGTCCCCGGCAACTTGTCGCGTGACTGGTTCGGGCCCAAGAGGGCCCCAAGACGGGCCAAGATAACCCCAAGAGGCGTCCAAGACGGCCCAAGAGGCCCCCGAGACGCCCAAAGATCGCTCCAAGACTCTCAAGATGGGCCTAAGACGGCCCAAGAGGCCGCCCAGACGCCCCAAGACGGCCCAAGAGGCGTCCAAGAGGGCCCCAAGACGTTCCAACAGGCCTCAGAAGAGCGGCCCAAGAGGTCCAAATCGACAATTTCCATTTGTTTTTGAAGGATGTTGGCCCTCCCGCCTTTTCGGCTCTCCGACGCTCCAAGACGGCCTAAGAGGCCCCCAAGACCGCCCCAAGACGGCCTCCAAGAGGGCCCCAAGACGGCCCAAGAGGGCCCCAAGACGGCCCAGGAGGCGCCCAAGACGGCCCAAGAGGCCCCCAAGACGGCCCCAGGAGAGGGCCCAGAAGGGACCACAGAACGAAAGCTCGAGCCTTCCGCCCCAAGAGGCCGCCAGGAGACCCCAAGAGGTCCCGAAGAGGCCCCAAGGGGCCGGCAAGACGCCCCCAAAGAGGCCCCCAAGAGGCCCAAAAGAGGCCCCAAGAAACTCCAAAACAGCCCCCAAGATGCCTCAAAAAGCCCCCGAGAGGCCAACCACGAGCCATGAGGCCTCTGGGCACGATGCAGTAGGATACGAAGCCGGGGGGTACCAAGCCGGCGGCCGCTGGCTTGGCAGGGGGGAGCCCCCGGGGGGGTACCAAGCCGGCGGGGTACCAAACCGGCGGCCGCTGGCTTGGTAGGGAGGAGCCCTCGGGGTGTACCAAGCCGGCGAGGTACCAAGCCGGCGGCCGCTGGCTTGGTAGGGAGGAGGCCCTGGAGAGATAATTACCAAGCCGGCGGGGTACCAAACCGGCGGCCGCTGGCTTGGTAGGGGGAGCCCCCGGGGGGGTACCAAGCCGGCGGGGTACCAAGCCGGCGGCCCAAGCCGGCGGGGTACCAAGCCGGCGGCCGCTGGCTTGGTAGGGAGGAGGGGGTACCAAGCCGGCGGGGTACCAAGCCGGCGGCCGCTGGCTTGGTAGGGAGGAGGCCCTGGAGGGGTACCAAGCCGGCGGGGTACCAAGCCGGCGGCCGCTGGCTTGGTAGGGAGGAGGCCCTGGAGGGGTACCAAGCCGGCGGGGTACCAAGCCGGCGGCCGCTGGCTTGGTAGGGAGGAGCCCCCAGGGGGGTACCAAGCCGGCGGGGTACCAAGCCGGCGGCCGCTGGCTTGGTAGGGAGGAGGCCCTGGAGGGGTACCAAGCCGGCGGGGTACCAAGCCGGCGGCCGCTGGCTTGGTAGGGAGGAGCCCCCGGGGGGGTACCAAGCCGGCGGGGTACCAAGCCGGGCGGCCGCTGGCTTGGTATCTGGATGGGTTGGTTCGGCGCCAACAGGCCTCAGAAGAGCGGCCCAAGAGGTCCAAATCGACAATTTCCATTTGTTTTTGAAGGATGTTGGCCCTCCCGCCTTTTCGGCTCTCCGACGCTCCAAGACGGCCTAAGAGGCCCCCAAGACCGGCCCAAGACGGCCTCCAAGAAGGCCCCAAGACGGCCCAAGAGGGCCCCAAGACGGCCCAGGAGGCGCCCAAGACGGCCCAAGAGGCCCTCAAGACGGCCCCAGGAGAGGGCCCAGAGGGGGACCACAGACCGAAAGCTCGAGCCTTCCGCCCCAAGAGGCCGCCAGGAGACCCCAAGAGGCCCCGAAGAGGCCCCAAGGGACCGCCAAGACGCCCCCAAAGAGGCTCCCAAGAGACCCAAAAGAGGCCCCAAAAAGCTCCAAAACAGCCCCCAAGATGCCTCAAAACTGCCTCCAAGGAGGCCCCCGAGAGGCCAACCACGAGATCCCAACCAACATCCATGAGGCCTCTGACCCACCACCCAGGCACGATGGCGGGAAGGGCCAAAGGCCAGTAGGATACGAAGCCGGGGGGGTACCAAGCCGGCGGCCGCTGGCTTGGTAGGGGGGAGCCCCCGGGGGGGTACCAAGCCGGCGGTGTGCCAAGCCGGCGGCCGCTGGCTTGGTAGGGAGGAGGCCCTGGAGGGGTACCAAGCCGGCGGGGTACCAAGCCGGCGGCCGCTGGCTTGGTAGGGAGGAGGCCCTGGAGGGGTACCAAGCCGGCGGGGTACCAAGCAGGCGGCCGCTGGCTTGGTAGAGAGGAGCCCTTGGGGGGGTACCAAGGGGTACCGCCCGGCGGGGTACCAAGCCGGCGGCCGCTGGCTTGGTAGGGGGGAGGGTGGTACCGCTGGCCTTGGTACCAAGCCGGCGGGGTACCAAGCCGGCGGCCGCTGGCTTGGCAGGGAGGAGGCCATGGAGGGGTACCAAGCCGGCGGGGTACCAAGGCGGCCGCTGGCTTGGTAGGGAGGAGGCCCTGGAGGGGTACCAAGCCGGCGGGGTACCAAGCCGGCGGCCGCTGGCTTGGTAGGGAGGAGCCCCCGGGGGGGTACCAAGCCGGTGGGGTAACAAGCCGACGGCCGCTGGCTTGGTAGGGAGGAGGCCCTGGAGGGGTACCAAGCCGGCGGGGTACCAAGCCGGCGGCCGCTGGCTTGGTAGGGAGGAGGCCCTGGAGGGGTACCAAGCCGGCGGGGTACCAAGCCGGCGGCCGCTGGCTTGGTAGGGAGGAGGCCCTGGAGGGGTACCAAGCCGGCGGGGTACCAAGCCGGCGGCCGCTGGCTTGGTATCTGGGTGGGTTGGTTCGGCGCCAGAAAGGGCACCAAGCCGGCGGAGGGCGTACAGTATGGTCGGGCGAAAGGGGGGGATAGCAAAGGGGAGTTTTGAGAATCAGCTCACGCAGCTAATTTTCCCGGCGCCTCCCGGCGCCGGAGGCGGCTATGTATCGAGGAATGGGCCCCTCGGTGGGACGAAACCAGCTGCATGCAGCAGATTTCGTAGCCCCACCTTTCCCAATCCCCCCCTTTCGTCCGGCCCGGGAAACAATCATTGTCTTGGCCGCCGCGATGGGCCCCAAAACTGCCCCCCAGAGGCCTACGAGCGCGCTCCGAGGAGGCCCAACGAGGCATCACTGAGGACTCTGCCCCACGTCAGCGACGTCGTCGCCGCCGACGTCGCTGTGGAGGTCGTCGTCCCCCTTCAGGGTCGGCGGCACCGGCCGTGAGACCTTCCCAAGATAGTCATCGTCTCAGCCGCCCCGATACGCAACATGCAGCCCTTAGCGCGTCGACACGGAGCTCAACACGCAAGTTGAAAACGTGCGCTTGGCGCGGCACGTTCTCCAAACCGCTGGCCAACACGTGGAGCCAACAAGCACCAGGTCGACACGGACGTTCTGCACGCGGTAAGTGTGGCGCGTCGAAACGGGCGTATCAGGGCAGCTAAGGACATCGTGCTACCAGCTACCAGGAGGAGGAGGAGGAGGAGGAGGAGGAGGAGGAGGAGGAGGAGGAGGAGGAGGAGGAGGAGGAGAGGAGGAGGAGGAGGAGGAGGAGGAGGAGGAGGAGGAGGGGACAAGGCATGCTGGATAAGGAAAGCGAAGGGGCCTGTCTGGCCATGGCGAGCCTCAGCCACGGAGAGCCTCCCCGACCCAGATCTAAGCAACGGCCCGAAAACCGGTGCCCCTCCCGAGCCCGAAGTGGTCCTTGCCTCGGCGTCTTGGCCGACGTCGGCGGGAGCATCTTCACATGCTCGCCCCAGCGGCTCACGTGACGCCCGAGGCTGCAAGCTCGGGGCAGGAACGGGACCCCAGTGCCGGCTTGACCAGGCAGCGGTCACCAGGGTGGGGCATGCACAGATCACGATACGACATGTCGACCTTGATCGTTGGTGCATTATTACCAAGATCAAGCCCACCTAGGCAGAAGCGAGACAATACCTCCGCACGAAAGCGAGGGAGAGAGAGAGAGTGACAGAGAGAATGAGAGAGAGAGAGAGAAAGAGGGAAGAAAGAGAGAGAGAGAGAGAGAGAGAGACAGAGCAAGAGAAATCAAGCAAAGCACGTCAGAAATAACAAGTAACGTGGGCAGGTCGAAGCACAGCTTCGACAATGCTTGTGTGAGCGACCACCCGAATGTTCATTTCCCAACTCATCTTTCCGCTGCCGCACTGCTGCTGCTGATTATTTGTCTCCTCCGGCTCCTGCTACCACCACCGCATGGTCCTCCTCGTCGTCCTCCTCCTGATCTGCCTCATCTCCTGATCATCATCCCACTCCTGCTCCGCCTCCTTCTACTCAACTTCAACATCCTCCTCCTGATCCTCCCCCAAGCTCCTCCTCTTACTCGCCCGTGTCGTCCCCAGGCCGGTGCTTAAGGGCCCCCCCGCACACTGCAGTTTGGTCGCACAGGGCATGAATCATCGGCGCCATCGCATCCTGGAGTACTCCTCCGCTGCCACCACCACCACGACCTCCTCCTCCTCCTCCCCCTCCCCCTCCTCCCTCCTCCTCCTCCTCCTCCTCGTCCTCCTCCTTATTATCCGCCCACCCCCTCTCGACAACGGCAGCCTTGTCGGCCTGGTCTGCGGCAGCGCTCTGGTTCTGCCCATGGTAGATGTCTGGCCCGGCCCGCTGATCGTGGGACAAGGACCAGGAGAAGGTGGGGGGAGGGCACGGAGCCACAGCACACAGAACCACGGGCCATCGATCGACGAAGCAACGGACAACCAACGTCCAGGGATCCAGTGGGCACGGCACCACGGGCCACCGAGCCAAAGGCCACCGGACCACGGGCCACACAACCGCTGGGCACCGAACCACGGGCCGCAGAGCGGCGAAGGCAGAAGAGACGTGGGCCGCGGACGCTCGGGCCACGGGGCGCAGCACCAGTGCACCAGAGGCCAGAGAGCGAGGTGCCGTTGACGACACTGGCCCTGTCCAGTGAGGGGCCCTTCCGCGTGGTGCTACTCCGTTCGAGATGTGGGCGCCAAGGGGGCCGTCGCAACTTCACGTGCCAGAGCGTCAGCCGTCCGCGCCTGGTCACGAATGGCGGCAGCGCCACGAGGGAGCCACGAGCTCGCGCGGCAGATCACGAGGGTCGCCCGCCCGGGGCCACGAGGCCAAGAGGGAACCATGAAGCCGCCAGCAATCCCTCGGCAAGGCCTGGGAACCGCCACCAGTGGCTACACGGGCAACGGCGCCATGATGGGGCGAAGGGGGCAGCACCAACCCTGGGAAGCTCTCGACGCCGCCCATCAGTTGCAACAGTGTGGCCGTGAGTGCAGCAGTCATCTCGGCAAACTGGTGATCGCCCATGCGCGGCCACAAGGGAGCCGCGGGAAACAGCACTGGAGGGAGGCAGGGCAGGGAAGGGAGGGAGGAGACGCGGAGGGCCGCGCGAGAAGGAAGGCGTGGGAGGAGGAGGAAACAAGAAGGAGGAAGTAAGGAGGAGACGGGAGGAGGAAGGGGCGGGGAAGAGAGGAGGGGGGTGGAGGCACGGCAGCGAAATGAGCGAGGCAGACCCCTGCGCCCATCCGATTAGCTTGTCCAACTGCTTCGGGCTCATCCCAGCGACCGCCTGGATGATCGACCACAACGTCCTGACGCGGGACGGCCCTGCCAGGTGACCCAAAGGGTACAGCCCGTGCCGGGAACACGGAGTCCCGACAGCAAGGGGGCCAAAATGCCCTCAAGGGGCACGGGCGCTGTGACAATTGACGGACAACCAACGCAAGTCCAAGTCTGTCGTTTTCGCCGGGCATTGACAGTTCTTGTCCCCAAGAAGAATCAGTAAGGCCTGTCCGATAAGTCAATCACCAGCAAGCCTACGGTTAATATGCGGGCCTTCGGGGGCAGCGTACTGGCCGGCAGTGCAACGCGGCGCAATGTGGGGCACAACGCAACGAGCCAACTGGAAACGCGTCGATCGGATAACTAGCTCCGCAGGGACCAGAGCGAGCAGACAATGCAAACATCGGCAGCACCTACAGCTCTAGCCTGACCGAACGCAAGCTAATACCAGCAATGAAGAGCAGTAGCAGAAGCAGACCCAGCATCAGCCGATAAACCAACGGCAGATCCAGAAGCAACCGCAGCAGCTGCAAGTTCAATTAAAGTCGGAACATACTTGATGCTGCGCTGAGTCTGCGATCTGCACCACGACTAGAAAGATGTTAACCTTCTTCGTTGAGACCGATCGCGGCCGCTTCCAGCTCCAGCCACCTCCCCTCCAGCAGCAGGAGCAGGAAGACACGCGGGCAAGGAGAAGTGGAACGAGGCCCACGAGGAACTCGACAAACCGTTCCAGCTGCCGAATCTGGAGATGCTGAGGAACATGCGACAACAAAACCGCCGCCGTATCGCAGGCACTGAGTAGGATGTCCCAAACGCCCTTTGGTGAAACCGCCCTTCTAGGCGGCGAGCCAGGGGGGGGAGTGAGAAGGGGCGTGCCTTCTCAGAAGGCTCGGGAAGTCACCTGGACTTCTGAGAAGTTTTCTGAGCCTTCCCCGAAGAGAGAAACAGAAACTTCTCGGAAGGCGCGAGGGCCTCTGAGAAGCCCCGCCGCCCTCTGAGAGGGCCCCCGCCCTCTCAGTTCCCCCCCCTCGCTCGCCGCCGACCTCTGGTGACAACGACCCGGGGCCACTCGGCGGGCACAGGCCCGCCAAAAAGTTGCGGGCGCAGCGCCCCGTCGACGATCGACTTGGCAGCGTGGCGTTCTTACGGTCGGCCTTGATTGGACAGGACACGCGAGAGGACGCGAGACCCTTCCGAGGGCCACATCGCCATAGGAGCGCGAGAAGGCACGCGTCGCGAGGCACAGGGCACAAGGGTACCCTTGATCTGGCAGGGTCGACCTGCTAATCCGGGCCGGCCGTAGGGGGAAAGCAGCAGTTGCAGCAGCAGCATCAGCAACAACAACGACAAACATACTTTAAGACTGTTCGCTCCGATCTGCTCGCGCCCCACTCAACACGTACATCGCGAACCCTCGGTACCCGCCCTCTTCGTCTTCGATCGTGTCCCCTTGGAGGTATCTCTTCTTTGCCTGCCACGTGCATTTAGCGCAGCCCCTAAAACAGGGGAAGGGAAGAGAGGACGGCTGGAAGGGGGAGGGAGAAGGATAGAGCATGAGAGAAATAAGCAGGAGGGGAGCTAGGAGCAGAAAACACTTGGCGGAACCAGACGGGCAGATCGGGCGGGCATACCCTAGCTGGCGGGTCAGGAAGGCGGGCCCCGGCGGCCAGGTCAAGAAGGCGGGTTACTGAAGCGTGAGTCCTGAATGAATCGCGAGGGACTCTCGAGCAATAGCGCGATTCCCAAGTAAATCGAGAGCAAGGCCGAAGCGAGAGCGTGATTCTTGCGCGTCGAGGGCGCGGCGTCTGAATACATTGCGAGGAAGGCCCACGCGTGAGCGCGATTCCTGCATAAGTTGTGAAGAAGACCTGTGCGAGAGCTCGACTCTGGAATACATTGTGAGGAAGTATCAGGTGGGAGCCGTTGTAGTTCGGGCTCCAACAACGCAGTTTGAGCACGAAGCCTTTCCCTGATACAAAACAGGGTGCGAGCCCCGAAGGGGGGCACTGCAATTGAAAAAACACAATGTCCACCAGTGATGGGGGGATCAGTTATACTTGTTCGTCAAGAGCGTGAGTTCAACAACAACAACAACAACAACAACAACAACAACAACAACAACAACAACAACAACAACAACAACAACAACAGCAACAGCAACAGCAACAGCAACAGCAACAACAACAACAGCAACAGCAACAGCAACAGCAACAGCAACAGCAACAGCAACAGCGACAGCAACAGCAACAGCAACACCACCACCACCACCACCAACAACAACAACAACAACAGCAACAACAACAGCAACAGCAACAGCAAGACCACCACCACCAACAACAACATCAACCACAATTAATTACACCAGCAACAACAGCAGCAGCAGCAACAACAACAACAACGACAACGACAACGACAACGACAACGACGACGACGACGAGCGAAAGCGAGAGCGAGAAAGAGAGCGACAGCGGGGCCACGAAAGACAGGAAGGGGGCCACGAAGGGCGACAGCGGGGCCTCGAAGGTCATGCGTATGGGGCCACGCAGGGCGAAAACGAGCGGGGGCCACGATGGGCAGACAATGCGGGGCCACAGAGGGCAATGACGGGGCCACAGAGGGCAACAACGGGGCCACGTATGGCAGCGAGGGGGCCTCAAAGGGCGACAGCGGGGCCACGAAGGGCATGCATATGGGCCCACGACGGGCGCGAACGAGCGGGGGTCACGAAGGGCGTACGTATTTTGGGCCGCAGAAGGCAAAGACGGGGCCACTGAGGGCAACACCGGGGCCACGAAGAGCAGCGAGGGGGCCGCGAAGGGCGACAGCAGGGCCACGAAGCGCATGCATATGGGGCCACGACAGGCGCAAACCAGCGGGGGCCACGAAGGGCATATACATATAACGGCGCACCGGGGCCCAGGCCCCCGGGTTATTTTCCCTGTGTTGCTAAAGGGTTTCGGCGACCCGGGGCCCCCAGAGGCCCCCAGAGGCTGCAGGGAGGCCGCAGCGACGGCTCGAGACGCCTTGAAGCCGCTCCTACAGGACGGCGCATCGGGGCCCGGGCCCCCGGGGTCGCGGCCTCTACCACAAATGGGGGTGCACAGTGTCATTTCCCGTGTGTTTTACCAGGTCTCGGCGACCCAGGGCATTCAGAGGCCCCCAGAAGCTGCAGGGAGGCCGCAGCGACGGCCCCAGACGCCTTGAAGCCGCTCCTACAGAGTTCCAAGAACCTGCACCAGATGGCTCCAACAGGCAAATGATGATTTTCCACTGTTCTTTCCCATGTGTTTGGGTTGGGCTTGCGACGCTTCGAGCGTGCCCGGGAATGCTTCAAGACCGCGCCAAAACCGCCCGAGAGACCCCCACATGATTGCTCCAGGTCAGCCCAACAGGACTCCAGCACGGCTCTCTCTATATAGGTGTGTGTGTGTGTGTGTGTGTATATATACATGTATTATCTGACCGTCGCCGTACTGATGCAGGGGGCCCAAGAGGCTTGCAGGGTGTTTTGCGGAAGCAGTTTTGACCCCTCTTGGGGGCTATTTTGGCGTCTCTTGAAATATTAGTTTGCGCCTCTTGGGGAGCTGGGGCCTGTTGGAGGCCTCTGTGGGGGTCCTTGGTGCCTCTCGGGGGCCGTTGTGGGGCCGTCTTGGGCACCACATAGAATGCACCGCGTAGATTGGACCGCATAGATTGCATTACATAGGTTGCATCCTCTTGGGCTTTCTTGGGGCCCTCTTGGACCGTCGTGGGCGTCTCTTGAGTGCCTCTTGGGCCGTCTTAAGGCAATCTGGGGGGCGTCTTGGGCCGTCTTGGAGCGTCGGGAAGGCGAGACGTTGTTGATGCTGAAGACGTACGTTTTACCAAGGGAGTTCGGCGATTTTGGTCTCTTGGGGCTCCCTTGGGAGGCCTCTTGGCGTCTCTTGGGGCCTTTTTGGGGTCTCTTGGGAGCCTCTGTGTGGGTCCTTGGTGCCTCTCGGGAGCCGTTTTGGGGTCCCCTTGGGCCGTTTTAGGCGCCTCTTGGGCTGTCTTGGGGCCCTCTTGGGCCGTTGTGGGGGCCTCTTGAGTGCCTCTTGGGCCGTCTTGGGGCAATCTGGGGGGCGTCTTGGGCCGTCTTTGAGCGTCGGAAAGGCGAGAAGTTGTTGATGTATGGTTTACAAAAGGATTTGGCGATTTGGGCCTCTTGGGGCTCCCTTGGGAGGCCTCTTGGGGTGTCTTGGGGGCGAGAAGGGGGCCTCTGGGACTGTCTTGGGGCCATGGGCGTCTTGCAGCCCTCGTCTTGGCCCAGCTTGGGGCCCTCTGGAAGCCATCAGGAGCCGTCGTGAGCCCTCCAGGCGCGCTCGGGACCCGGCGGCCCCCAGCGGGACGCAGGTCTAGCCGGATTAGTCCACTATGTATATAAGTATTTTTCGTGTCAGCAAAGCTACATGTAACGGGAACTGGACCTGGGGACCCCGGGGCCGCGACCCCGACCGCAAATGGGTGTGCCGGGGGCCCCAGGGGGGCCCCCTGGGAGCCGCGGGCCCTCTAAGATCGGCCGAAGACGGCCCCGGACTGTCAGAAATCGCCCTTCCGGACTGCCAAAACGACCAATGACGGTAGAGATGACCCCACAATTAGCCCCAGACTTTTCAAGAGGCCTCTCAGACGCCCCAAGAAGCAAGAAGCCTCCAAGATGCCTCCCAAGAGCGCCCGAAGAGGCAACAATCTCTGGTTTTCAATAAGTTTTTACAGGATTTTCGAGTTCTCGCCTTTTCAGTTTCCCGACGCTCCACGACGGCCCGAGAGGCCCCCAATGTTTGCTCCAACACAGCCCAAGAGGCTTCCAAGAGGGCCCCAAGACGGCCCAAGAGGGCTAAACGGCGCGCGACGCGTCCAAGACGGCCCAAGAGCGTTCCAAAACGGCCCCAATATGGACACTGGAGGGGTAACCCAGACCGACAATCCGAGCTCGAAAGGCTCTCTGGAGGGCCCAAGAGGCCCCTAAGAGGCCTCCCAAGAGCGCCCGAAGAGGCAGCAATCGCTGATTTCCAATAAGTTTTTGAAGGCTTTTCGAGTTTTCGCCTTTTCAGTTTCCCAACGCTCCAAGACGGCCCCAGAGACCCCCAAGACCGCTCGAAGACAGATGAATAAGCCTCCAAGAGAGCCCCAAGACGGCCCCGAGGCAGTCCCTGAGACGCCCAAGACGGCCCCAAGACGGCTCCAAGAAAGGCCCAAGAAGAGGAACGCGAACCCAGAAGTGTCCGGAGGGTCGTAGTTCTTGCGACGCCCAAGACGGCCTGAGAGGGCCCCAAGACGGCTCCAAGACAGGCCCAAGAAGGGGAACGCGTACCCAGAAGTGCCCGGAGCCTGAAGACGCCTCCATAGACGCTCAAGACAGCCCCAGAGGGCCCCAGGAGACCTTCCAGAACGCCTCCAACAAGCCAAAACCCATCCAAAACTGGAGGGAAATCAATGACTTTCGCCTTCGCGCCTTGCCGCCTCCGATGGGCTGCTGAGACCTCACGATCGCTCCCAAGAGGCCCCCAGGAGGCTCCAAGACGCCCCACAAAGCCCCTCAGACGCTCGAAGAGCCCCCAAGACGCCCCCGAGAGGCCCCCAAGAAACCCCTACAACTTGTGGGTAACTCCTGACGTTGCATGTGTGCGTGCGCATCTGCACGCAACTGTGACTGTCACGGGCTGGAGCTGGCTAGAACCTAAGCGCGCGCGAAGCGCGCGTGGTTCCAGTACATATGTGTGTATGTATGTATGTATGTATGTATGTACGTACGTACGTACGTACGTACGTACGTACGTACGTATGTATGTATGTATGTATGTATGTATGTATGTATGTATGTATGTAGGTATGTGTGTGTGTATGTATGTATGTATGTATGTATGTATGTATGTATGTATGTATGTAGGTAGGTAGGTAGGTATGTATGTATGTATGTATGTATGTATGTATACATATACAACTATATATATATATATTATCATACGCACCTCTCCGAGGGAGTAGAGCTCAAAGCAAATTAATTGAAGGCGGCGTTCGCGATTTGTCGGGCCGTTTCGCTAGGGACATCCTCGAAATTCTGAAAATCGGTGGCCCCCTCATGCGTTTCATGGCCCCGTAGGGGGCCCGGGGCCCCAACTAAGGCCCAAATGCCGAAGGCCGTCGTCGCTTCGTGGCCCCATAGGGAGCCCCAACGAAGGCCCAGATGCCGAAGTCCACATGGCGGCACCGCCTCAATTCGGCACACCCCTCACGCGTTTCTCGGCGCCATGTGGAGCTCCACCGAACGCCCCGGCAGCAGGGCTCGCATGGCGCACCCGCTCTCAATTCGGCACGCCCCTCACACGCTGCGTGCCACCATAAGGGTCTCCACCGAGGGCCCTACTACCAGGATTCGCTTCATGTCGGCACATCCCTCACACGTTTCGTCGCCCCATAGGGATCTCCACCGAGGGCCCAACTGCCAAAGTCCGCATGGCGGCGCCGCCTCATTTCGGCACACCCCTCACACCTTTCGTGACACCAGAGAGGGAACCATAGGGGGCCCCAACAAACCAAATGCCAAAGTCCGCATGGCGGCGCCGCCTCATGTCGGCACACCCCTCACGCGCTTCGTGGCCCCATAAGGGGGGCTCCAGCTGGCCCAAATACCAAAGTCCGCTTGGTGGCGCTGCTTCATTTCGGCACACCCCTCACTCGCTTCGTTGCCCAATAGGGAGTCCGAGCGAAGACACACATGCCAAAGTCCGCATGGCGGCGCCGCCTCATGTCGCCACAACCCTCACACGTTTCGTGGCCCCATAAAAAGCTCCCACGAAGGCCTAAATGCCGAAAGCCGTCACACGCTACGTGGCCCCGTAGGGAGCCCCAATGAAGGCCCAAATGCCAAAGTCCGCATGGCGGCACCGCCTCAATTCGGCACACCACTCACGCGTTTCGCGGCGCCATATGGAGCTCCACCGAACGGCCTGGCAGCAGGGCTCGCATGGCACACTCGCTCTCAGTTCGGCACGCCCCTCACACGCTTCGTGCCCTCCATAAGGGGTCCCCACCGAGGGTGGCACCACCTTCACGCGCTTCGAGCTTCGAGGCCTCACCGAGAGAGCTCGCCGAAGTCCTGGTGTACGCGTGGCGCAGCCCCGCCAGGAACTGCGCGCCAGTCCGTCGTTTTGCTTGTCCCCCTCCTTTCCGCTTGCCTCACGATGCTCGCAACTTCGGATGGTGGGCCCTTCGCCAGGATACTTTTCACGACACGAGGGCGGTCTGGGAAGGTGGCAAGGCGGCTTACTCCGAAGAGTCTCGCATCTCGCATCCCTCGACGAGAGGGCGGACCCTCCCTGGCACCAGAGGGCAAAAGGGCCGAGCCCGAGCTCCCCCTGGTCCCCGCCCCCCCCCCCCCCCGAACGCAGGGGAGGCCGAGCCTGGAGGAGGCCGCAGGGAGCCTCCGCCCTCCCCGACGCCCAGGAGGGGGGCCTGCTCGCCATCGCTCGGACGTCCATTCCCTGTGCTTTTGTTCGGCTTCGTGCGTGGTTTTCTCGCCAAGTGATCAAGGATGCTCCTCGATTGTCCTCGCCGAAGGAAAAATGTACACGTCCGAGCGATGCCAAGCCTGGGGAGCAGGAGCGGAAGCAGCGGGAGCGGCACCGGGCGGAGCGGGGGCGGCCATGGCCCGGGCCCCGCCCCCCCCCCCCACCCCCACCCCGCCCCGCGCGGGGCGGCCCGCCGTCCTGGCGCCAGCCCTGGAGGCCTCCTGCGCGACCTCGCCCGATCGGGGGCAGGACAGGGAGGGTGGGAGGAGCGAGGAGGAGCGAGAGCATCGAGGAGGAGGAGCAGGAGGAGGAGGAGGAGGAGGAGGAGGAGGAGGAGGAAGAGGAGGAATAGGAGGAGGAAGAGGCGGAGGCGGAGGCGGAGGCGGGGGCGGATGCGGAGGGCGGAGGAAGTGGGTCGAGGACCAGGAGAAGGAGATGGGGGAACGAGGAAGGGCGAGGAAGAGCAGGAGGACCGGGAGGATCGAGGAGAGTCGAAAGGACTGAGGAGGAGGAGGAGGAGGAGGAGGAGGAGGAGCAGGAGCAGGAGCAGGAGCAGGGGGAGAAGGAGGAGCAGGAGGAGGGGGGAGGGGGAGAGGAGAAGCAGGAGAAGCAGGGCCTGCACGTGGGCGGCCGCAGCTTCAGAAGCAGCTTCCTTCACCAGGCTCATAGGGGCCTCACTGGCTTGGGTCCGCTCAGCTTCCAGCGCGTGGAGGAGGAGGAAGAAGAGGAGGAAGAAGGAGGAGGAGGAGGAGGAGGGGGAGGAGGAGGAAGAGGAGGAGGTAGAGGGGGAGAAGGGGGAGGAGGAGCAGGAGGAGGAGGAGGAGGAGGAGGAGGAGGAGGAGGAGGAGGAGGAGGAGGAGGGGGGTCGAGAGGGTCGAGGATCGAGGTCTTCGAATCGGTCGAGGATCGAGGCCTTCGAATCGGTCGAGGGAGAGCAGGAGCAGAACGACGGCCCCCGTAACCTTCACCAGTGCTGCCAGCACCGAGTAACCAGACAGCGTCTTTCACGGGCGCTGTGCGTGGCAAACTGCCGCCCGCCCTCCTTCGCCGGACCCAGTCCCCCACCCCCCCCACCCTCGGCCCTCCTCCAGAAGCGGCCCCCCCTCCCACCTCCACCCATCCCGAGCGCCAACAAACGACGACGACGACGACGACGACGACGACGACGACGACGACGACGGACACGACGACGACGACGACGACGGACACGACGACGACGACGACGACGACGACGACGACGACGACGACGACGACGACGACTTTGATCGAAACGACGAAAACGACGACGGACGGCGGGAGACGAAGAACAACATGCTTTGGCACGACGCCGAGTGGTCGAAGTTCCCCTTGAGACGCCACAGGTCGTCAGGCGTCGCCCAAACCCCAGGTCCTTTGCAAACCTTCCTGAAACGCTTCCATCTGGCCGATGTAGCCCAGCGTGCACACAGCCAGCACATTGTGGGCCACAGTGTGGAAGCGCGTGGCGACGCCGTGCTCCGACCAGTTGCGACAACGCTGGATGTATTATTTGTTGGGGTCGCGGTACGACTGCGTGCCCTTGCCAGGGCTGACCATGAAGCCCAGGTGCTTGCCGAACTCTGCTGGCAGCATGCTGGCCTCCCCTGGCAAACGGCAATCCTGGATCATTTGAACTGGTCCAAGGCGTGCATCCCGAGCGGGGTGACACACTTCTGCAGGTTGAGACGCAGGCCTGCGATACTGGCGAGCTCGGCGGACATGCGTTTCAAGAGCGGGGGCTCCTGCGAGTAGCCCGTGAGCAGGAGCGCAGCGTCGTCTGCGCAGGCCCGAACCAGCGTACTAGGGCACTCCTGATCTATGCTGTCCAGGAGCAGTTCTGGGACCGTTGCATAGAGAAACGGTGAGAAGGGGCACCCCCGCCTCACGCCAGCTTCTAGTCGTGGCGTCTGCCTCTCAGCGAGCCCGGCCGTGCACTATGAATCCGCATACAGCACGCGGATGATAGTCATGGCCTGGTCCTGCACACCGATCGACGATACCACGGTGAACATAAATTCCTGGGATATCGAAGGGAACGCCGATGCGAAGTCCATCAAGAGACAGGCTCCGCTCTCACGCTGGAGCGTCGTGATCATGTTTGATGTGTCAACGTCCAGAAGATTGGTAAGGATGGATCGTCTCGGAAGGACTCTCTTTTGCATGTCGCACGAAGACCGCAAGCACCGCTGCCCCAGGATAAATCCATAAATGGAATACCCTCAAATTGCGTAAGGTCTGTGACCAAGGTGCCCCCGAACCCCGCCAACACGGCCACCGAAGCTTCCTCACCACTGGACGCCAATGCAACCCAAGCATCCTCGCCATCGGCAGGCACCGCCACTTAACCCATCCCCGCCCTGGACTGACGTTGTCACCCAAGACCACTGGCAACTGGGACTTAACACACAACCCCCGCAGAGCCCTCACAAGGATGACTACACCGCGGGACCTCAACAGTGGTCACTTGCAGGAGCCCGCAGTACATCAGACGCCCATGGCTGTCAACTTGCAGGATACATTCTCCAATCCACACACACAAACACACACACACACACTCTCTCCCTCGTACTTACACACACACACACACATTCTCTCTCTCTCACACACACACGTGCAAGCACGCACGCACACGCAACGTGCCTTGCCCAGGGAACACGCCACTCGGAACCGGTGGCCCTGCCGAAACGGCCAGCGGGCACTCTCCGTGACCCGTGCTCGGCATTGCTCGGGCGCTCTGGGCGCCTTCCCACGCACGGGATGCCCCCCCCCCCGCGCCCAATGGGACCTGAGATCCTGTGGCCCCGCCACGGCACGGCTCCCCTGCCTCGAACGCCGCCGCCCTCGGGCCGCGCTGGTGGGCTGCACTTGGTCCGGGGGAGTCCTCCGCCCCCGGGGCCGCAGTCCCCTTGGGAATCTCTCGGGCCCTGGATGGTGTTCCGCGGCACGTCCTCGTCTGGTCGAGGAGCCTGCCCGTCGGCAAACCGCTGGCGCACCCGGATCGCGCACGCCCGCGCGCGGCCAGGGCCCCATGGGCTCTGGAAGGTGCCCTGGCCGCTACCCTGCGGGCGGCGACCGCCCGCGTGCAGACGCTGCACCACCCCCCAAGCATGAGTGGTGCAGCTACTGCCGTCGGCTACACGCAGGGAGCGACCCCAGGCAGGAGCCTGTTTATTGCAGTCGGACTTCGCTGGACAGGACACGCGAGATGACACAAGACCCTTCCGAGGGCCACATTGCCACAGGAATGTAAGAGGCATGGGTCGCGAGACTCAGGACACAAGAGTACCCTTGATTTGGCAGGGTCGACCTACTAATCCGGGCCGGCTGTATGAAGAGCAAGTCGCTGCCCTTCCAGAGAGCCATCCTGAGCGGTCCCTTCGCGCACAAACTTGCGCGGGCAACAACGTAAATTGCCGCAGTCGTGGCATCTGGTGCGCGGCTTTCGGGGGCCCCTGCGGGGGGGGGGGGGGGGACAAACCCCAGCGCGCAGGCCAGTGCCAGGGTGACCCCTTGTGGGCCCGCACAAGAGGCCACTCCGGCGAAGTGTCACCATCGGGTGCTCGCTTCTGGATGCCATGACAATGGACACTTCAACAATCCTATCATTGAATAGAAGATGTGTCCAGCATGTGGAATCCATGTTCTAAACATGTTTCAAACATGTGTTTTGTTAAAACAATTGTTTAAACATGTTTGAAACATCTTTTAGACATCTGGGAAATATGTGGCAGCATGTTTCCTCTCCATGGATCGTCCTCCACAACGCTAACTAACTGGGGGGAACCAATACACAGGGGGGGGGAGACACGTGCACCTTTCGTGAACTTCGTGGGCCTGCTGCGGCAGCTCAGGGGCCATTCGAGGCCCCGTTGCTGTCAGCTTTCCTGCACTGCGCGATGCCAGCCCCGTGTCCACTGCCCCCGCGTTGCCGCCCGCCTGACGCTCCTACGTGTAGCCGATACCGCACGTTCCAGAGTTCAGTCTCGCTGCCGTTTCGTCGGGGGCGTCCACGAGGAGCGCGTCTGAGAGGGGGGGTCTGAAATCATGGCCAGAGGCATGTGCGCGGCCCAGGGGGGGGGCCGAGGGACGTTTTGAAATAAACAGGGAGGGGGCATGATGTCCGGGGAGGTATCATGGCCCCGGCCATGATATAAAACCCCTAATCTTGAGGGATGAAAAAGCCGCACCTACCCTGGGTTACAAGTGCGTGGTCAGTAAACCTCCTGGGAACTCCCACCGGCCAGAGAGCCGCCAGGACGCCGCGCGGCACGCGCGATACGCAGGGTTTATCCTGTCAGCCCACAG